ATAGGTAGACAAAATGCCAAATTCAGTCTGAACATCTGACTGACTGTGCGATGATCCATAATGATGATGATGATGATGATGATGATGGAGGGGACCTTGGAGGTCTTCTAGTCCAACTCCCAGCTCAGGCAGGAAACCTCTAGTCTATGCCATTTCAGACAAATGACTGTCCAATCTCTTCTTAAAAACTTCCAGTGTTGGAGCATTCACAACTTCTGGACGCAGGTTATTCCACTGATTCATTGTTCTGTCAGAAAATTTCTCCTTATTCTAGGTTGCTTCTCTCCTTGATTAGTTTCCATCCGTTGCTTCTTGTACTGCCTTCAGGCACTTTGAAGAATAGCTTGATTCCCTCTTCTTTGTGGCAACCCCTGAGACATTGGAACACTGCTATCATGTTGCCCCTAGTCCTTCTCTTCTTGAAACTAGACATACCCAATTCCAGCAACCTTTCCTTTATATGTTTTAGCCTCCAGTCTCCTAATCATCTTTGTTGCTCTTTTCTGTACTCTTTCTAGAGTCTCAACATCTTTTTTACATCGTGGTGACCAAAACTGCATGCAGTATTCCAAGTGTGGCCTTACCAAGGCATTGTAAAGTGGTATTAATACTTCCCGTGATCTTGATTCTATCCCTCTGTTAATGCAGCCTAACACTGTGTTGGAATGTTTGTTGTAACTTTTTAAATGCTAACAAAAATTCAGTTTTTCAACAGCATTTTCCCCCAGAATAGTTCAAATCCATTTAAAAGGGGAGAGGGAGCTGCTGTATATGCAAGTATTAAAGTGAATTATGTCTCTTTAGATAGCAGTTTGAGGTTTTTAAAAATGCTTTCCCATATAAACATTTCTCTGCACATAATAAGCTAGGATTTATGAGAAAATATAGTAATAATACATATAGCTGTGTACTAATGTTTGACTTGCAGAGTTGCTTTTAACATAGGAAACAATAAAGCACTGTTAATTCCCTTCTTATAGTATGGAGTATTGTCTACTCTGCACAACCTCAGCCATTACCTTAGTTTTCTGTTGCAGACTCCGTTCCAAGGATAAATAAATCTACATATCCTCCGTCATCTTTTTAAATTAAGTTTCTCTTAATTACCAAATGTTTTCTTTTTCTGAGTAAAGTAGTTTAACCCTTTTTCATATTGATGAGGGTGAACCTTTTTCGTATTTTTAAGAGTAAAGTTGGCATCTATTGAATAGTGATAAATCCAAAAATATTATGGTTCTTTTTCCATTCATAAATTTAGGAAAACGCTAGCTCAGAATATCATATTAGATGGTAGAATTTTGTCAGTGTTGTAATTAAAAGATTCTGAGACATAATAAAGAATCAATCTGAGCTTGGCAATTCGTGCTGGATTATTATATCATGCTCTCTCTCACACACACACACACATACACAGTGTATCAGTTTACAAATCTATAATATGGACAAGTAATTGTTTAAAAAGTCTGAGCACCCTTGTCTTGGTTATTACTGGTGCATGTACATTATAAAAGAAATCCATTGGAGATGGTTTAATATGTGCCAATATATCTAGCATTGAGCATTCCCTAAAAGTAGTCTGATTTGGAGACATTTGCATTAAATTTCATCTAGGAAAATCTGCTAATTATATTTTTAAGTGTGAAGAGCTTCCCTTACTTTCATAACTCTATACCATTCAGTGCAGTGCAGCTATTGGAGTAAAGGAGAATTGAAACACAAAGCTCTTTCAGATATTTTACACTTCAGATTTTAAAATGGAGTTAAGCCCATCACTATTATTTAGATAGGTCCCACAATCTCAGTAAGTAGTCCTCATTTAGTGATTACAATTGAGACTGGCAACTCAATCATTAAATGAAACTGTTCCTAAGTAAAACCATGACTGTATTTGTGACCTTTCTTCACTTCGCTTTACAGGCCTGTGAAGGTCACAGGCAATGCAAGAAATGATCACAGTTACTTTTTCATCACCCTTGTAAACTTGGTTAATGAGGCAATCACTAAAGGAGGACTACCTATATTGCCAGTGATAATTCTGACATTACATAGGCCTCTTTCAATCTGTCATGGTTGACTTCTCACCACTTTTTATTAAAAAATATTTAGGAGTTCACCTTCCTTTTCTCAATTTAGGATTCTTTTAATATTGTTGGAGCAGCAAAAGCCTATTTTAAATAGTGCTGATGGGAAGATACAGTGTATCTACACCAGGCATGTCAAACTGCTGGCCCGCGGGCCGGATGCGTCACGCCGAAACCGCGCCCACCCCATTGCCGGCAATGGGGAAAAAGTCACGATAAGTCACATGACATCACGAGTTTGAAATGCCTCATCTACACAATCCAATGTATTTTTAAAATCAGTCCATATTTCACAGATCTAAGCTCTGGCTCAGCAAAACAGATATTTTTATTCCTTCTCTATGTTTTTTGCATTGTAATCATTTCATATTTTTTCCATACATGCCAAGTGTCATCATAGCAGGATATAAATTCAATAAATTAATACCTGGCTTAGGCTTAGTCCTGCCTGTTGCATTTCAGCCTTTCATTTCTCTGGTGACGGACTTATTGGTAAAAAGAGAGAATCAAACAGGTCTCTAAGAAAAAAAATGGAAAAGATGTTCCCCCTCAACTCACAAAACAAACTATGCAAGGAACACGTCAGTCACACGTCTTCCCTCTGGGATTTGGTTTAAAGTAAACATGCTGCAATATTTGAAAAGGTCTTTCCTGATGATTATTTGGCTAGATTGACACAACAGACTGAAATTATGCAAATACTCAGTGTAATGCCCAGTATGTATGATAAGCTAAGGAAAACATGGAGTAAATTTGTATGGGATATGGTACACTATAGTAGGCAAGAATTTGCAAACCAAAGAGATAAAAGACCTGAGTCCTAATCATTTTTCAGTTGGATGACCTTAGTTATTTGTCCATAATGTGAGAATACAATTTCCATCAGAGCAGTGCTGAGGCCAGAAAAAGATTACAGGCACTGGCCAGCCAGTTATGCACAAATCAGTCATGCTGATTTAGAAGAGACTGAATGATGTTCTTAACCCTTTCCTTTACTGAAGTCAACAAGACCTTAAAAGCACTTATCTTTGGAGTGTATCCAAAGATGGTAAAATGCTTTCCCTATTTAGACAGATCTTTAGTGATGATAATAGCAGTGGATGAAGAGCAGGGCACTGGAAGTTTAAAAAGCCAGCGTTGCAAGCTTGGTTCAGCTAAGGGCAGAAAGTGACCAGTTAGTCAATGCAGGTTTCTCTCTTAATACGGACTGCTGCAGTGCACAGGCAATCCCTATAAATTAGAGATACTGCTTTTTTCCTGGACTTTGAACAGCAAGGCCCAAATCCCTTGGCTATGTGGTAGTCAGGGACAGAGGTAACGCGAAAGGGGAACAAGGAATGTAAAGCTGCTGGCGAGGGGCTTTATTTAGGCATACCGGCTGCCAAAGGTACCCCATGCCCACCCACCCCTTTGCTGATCTGTGGAGGCCACTACTGAGTAAATGAGTGAGAGAGAAAAACAGAAAGAGAGACTTGGTGTCATTTCACCCCTGTGGCTCCCACGCAGCCCTAAAGTCCCGTAAAGTCGTCTTCCAAATAGTCTTATCTCCCACGAGTGCCTTGCAGACAGTAGTGCTACTATGAGCGCTCGGCCACGGCTGTAGACGGATTAGCCCTGAGAAAAAGAAACGGGTTTTTTATCTCGGGCATTAAAGCGGTATGAAGAAGCGGCGCGAACAAGCTTCAGTGCGCTCTTGAAGGCGGCCAAGTCTCGCACCAAGCGCTAAAGCCGAGGGCCTTCGGCGTTAGCGCGAGGCCCGAGGCTGAAACCAAGCGCAACGGCCTGGGCCCGTTCTAGTTATATCAGATCTCCCGGGTCCCGAGGCGCAGGGGCTTCCCGCGGTTTTCGCTCAGCTCCGCGCAGGTGGTAGCCGTAGCTGGAGCTCTCCGCTCGTCTTGCAGAGCAGCGGCAGCGTTAAAGCCGCCCGGGAAGGGAAGGGAAGGGAAAGGGAGGAGGCGGAGTGGAGCAAGTCCCCAACTCCTTGCCGAGTTTTCTCTTTCTCTCTTCCCCCTCCCCCTTTACAGCTGCACACACGCAACCCCCCCCCCCTTTTCGCCAAAACTCTCGGCGACGCCTGTTCAAAGGCTGAAAGCGCCACGGCGTTGTTCTCCTCCCCTCTCAGTAGAAAGCACGAAACAATAAGGAGGGGGGGGGGACGAAGAGCGAGTTGATGTTTTAATTAAGATTCTCAGGGCAGGGAAAAATGAGAGGTTTCTCTGCGAGGAAGGAAGGAAATCGGGAGGGTTGGAGGAACGGAGGCGCTTCCCTTGGAGCCGGGAGCCTCAGAGCTGAGTTTCAGCTTTGCCGCTGCCTCTGCTACGCACGGAGAAGTTGAGCAAACAGGAAACGTGGTGGCTCGCACACACGGCAGCCGCTGCTCTGATTCATTGGGGCTTGAAGCTTGCCCGAAGGAGGACAGAGAGGAGGAGGAGGAGGAAGGTGTTGGCTGCTTGGCTGCCTCCAGCCCCAGGGAGGAAAGCGGCTGGCCGGCTGCGTGTCGCCTAAAGCCTCTCGTTTGCCAGAAGGCACAGTCCCAGCTAGCCAGACTGACACGATTCTTGCCCGCCTCGCGCGCTCCGAGAGTGGAGGGACGGCGCTCCTCAGGAGAACCGGTCGCGCTTCAGTCCCCGCTCGACTCCCCTCTGAGCAGCGCGCCCGCCCGCCCACCCGCCGAGTCTCGTTGCTGGAGTCGATAAGAAAAGGCTGGAGCGACTTTTGTTTTTTCCTCATTCCCGCCGGAGCCCGGAGCCCGCCTTTTCTCCTTCTTGCTCGGGCATAGCAATATGAAGGAGCAGAACTCATGTGTGGGCACTGGGCATCCCCCCATGGCTGGGTATGGCAGGATGGACCCGCTGGAGCTTGCTGTTAGCCCCGTGAAACGCTTGCGAACTGAGTACTCCTTTCCCTATCTCTTCGCAGAGGAGGCCTACCAAAAACTGGCCAGCGAGACCCTGGAGGAGCTGGACTGGTGCCTGGACCAGCTGGAAACCTTGCAGACCAGGCACTCCGTCAGTGAAATGGCCTCGAATAAGGTAGGAACCCCCCCCCCGTGTTTCCATCTATCGACCCCTTCCCATCCCGCCTCTTCAGTTTTCCTGTGCCTTGCTTTGTTTTCCCCGCCAAACCTGACGGCTCAGAAGGAAAATATACACACCTCGGGTTTGGGAGAAGCAGGCAGTTTTTGCGCAACAAGGTTTCTAGGCTTAAAATTGTGTGTGCAGCAGAATAGCGCTCTGATATCTTGATCTGTCATCTAAGATAAGTCCACCGGGTCTGGATAAAAAAAACTCCTTCAGTCTGCCTTCCTGACAGCAATTATTGTCCACTTCTGCAGCTTCCCTGTAAAGGATGCATAAAATTGGGCTGAAACTGGTTTCTTACCCCCTGGTAATGTTTATGGATATCATCCCATTTTATGCATAGTTGCTTGGAAGCAAATTCAATTGAAACTGTATAAAGAATTGATCCTAGATAAGAACATATAAAAATGCAAAACTGCAACAATCATAACTGTATTAAACATCAGGTTATGACACTAGTTATGGATGGATTAGAGGCAAACTTGAAAAGCAATACAGATTTTGAGACTGTCATTTTGTCCACTACAGTTTGTTCTGCAAAGTAAGAGAGAAGGACGATCAGTTTGGATGGGTATTCAAAATAAATTATATTAAAATATAAAGTTTCTTATGCCATTAAAAGTTGTGCAAAAATTCTTTTCTGTGTGCTGCCAATTTAAAAACAAAAAGGACAAATGGTGCTTATGGTTTTGCAACCTTTATATATACAAAGGCCATACATTTGTGTTGTAAATGTCAGTGTAACTTAGTAAGTATAGGGGAGGTGATTATGCCTTTTGTAAATCCCTTGTAACAGAATAAAGCAAGAAAGGCCATGTGTCCACTGGAGACACATTAATATACATTAAACATACATGGGTTTTAGATAAATGACAGATGAAATAAGTTGTTTCTATAGCTTTTGCCCTTGGAAAGGCAACAGTAAATGTGCTGATTTGGAAGGAAAGAAGTTCCATTGATTTCCCTAGAGCTTAAGTTTGGGTGATTTGTAAACCATTGTTTTTAACTTATGATGTTAAACCAAAACCATCAATTTACAACTTACCATGATGTTGAACCACCCCAGAGAGACTTTTCTCTTCATGTCCACTCAGTACTCTCACAGTGCTAAAAAATACCCACTGCCACCTCTGTTCAGATGGCAACTTTCTATTATATTAAAGTACTTTAACATTTCAAGAGGTAGTGGATGTCTCCTATTTTGCATTATTCTCCTGATTGTGTTTTAGTTTATCGCTGTAATGCCTGTTTGTCAGATCATATCTAATTAGAGGCGGAAGCACTACTCTTTAATACTAAGAACATACTGTAATATAATCATAATAATTTCTCTCTGTACTTTTGGGCATTTAACTACTGGATTCTGTTAATTACAGTTGTACCAAATTCTTGCATGACAAAACTTTCAGGATGCTTTGATTCTGCAATTACTTAGTTCAATTGTATGATAGCGAACTTCGATTTTTCAGACAATATACATCTATCACTGAGTCACAGCACTTTGGTTAATGTTTCTTTACAACATCTGTTTCTGAAAAGCATTTTTTGCATTTATTACTTTACATTATTAGGGGAATATTTAAAATATAGCCATTTGCTTAAAAACAAAATTTATGAAGTGGTCTTGAATATCACTAATGTTGGCAGCTAAAAAATGAATATTTGCAAGTAAAAATGCAGTACGAAACCTCATGTTAAATAGCACAACATTTTGTGTATGCACACTCAATGCCAAGGATATGTGAACAACTGGTCTAATTTTAGTCGCCTTTGCCCTTTAGCCATTAGTAGATGACTGTTTCTCATATTTGTGTTACACCTCTTATAATGTAATGAGCTTAATTAAGTACTTAAGGATAATAAGGGTTTTTTTTTGTCCTATATGGTAAGATTATTTCCTAAGCTTTTTTCAAGTTAAGAAGTTTTGCTAGCTTTAATTTTTATGAAAATATTCTAGGAACAATAAAAATACCCTAAATATATTATAACAAACTTTTATGGACAGTAGACTACTTTAGCTGGGTATTTTGCTTTTCCCTTAGTTGGTGGACAAATTTTATGCATCATAATATAGTGGCCCTGGAATTGTGAATGTAAATAGTATTTGAAGCCTCTTTAATGCTATTAAGGAAAAGAAACATTCCATAAAGGATTCACTTTTCCTATTGCTTCCTAAATAGCACCATAGAGCCAAGGTTTTCCATAAGAATACAATGAGAGGAGTTGCCATAGTCACTTTGAAGGTCAGATTGAATGATGCCATCCTTTACATCAGCAGTGAAAATTTATACTGCAGGCACACAATGGTTGGTTTTATTTTATCCATAAAATAAGAATGTGTCTGTTTTAATTTCTTTGTTACTAATTAAATTCTGTGTGCCATCTACACTAGCTATGTAGTCCTATACATATACTAATTTTCAGCTATGTAGTGACTTGTGATTCAAGACTGTAGCCAAAAATGAATTCAGGAAGCCTGTGCGCTAATGCTGGTGACTGCAGGGTTTCTTTGGCATTGTATAACCCAAGCAGAGGTTCTTGGGCATAAACACTAATTTTTAAAACTGTTCATCCTGTGAAAAATTGATTTCTGCCATTTTTTTTTTTAAAAAAGGATCTCCTTGCTCAAAGGTTTTTGTTTTCTTTGTATACAAAAGAGTGCTGCCACAAAGTTTCTTTCCAAGATATATCAAATAGATAAAGAGGCTTGTTCCAAATAATCCTAAGTAGGCGTTTTGTGTTCCCAGGAACAATGCTGTACATGGTTTATTCACACTGTGTGACATAGTACACTGTCATAAATACATATGTATTCACGCACATGTAAATCAGAAAGTTTCAGATACCTTTTAAGCATCATATTAACGAGTGCTCTTGAGTTGTAAAACAAAGCCATGTAAATGCAATTAACATTTTAAGTAGCTAACTAGAGTTATTTTGATAAATCCTCCCTACTGAGGAAATTATCCTCTAGCCTTAATTCTCAGACTTGGCTGGCGTTTCACAGGTGGAGATTAGTTGAGTGTTTGGCTGGCTCTGGGGCAGAAGAGCTTGCATAGGGGAGAGGATTGCTGTAATCTATTGACGTCAGTTTATTAAGTATAAGTTGGGTTTCCTTCCAGCCTTCTAACCTACTTGTAGAAATCACAAAATAATAAATAGACAGACAATACACCACAATGCCTGTTTCCCCTTAGTTTTAACCCAGTTGATTCTGCCTAGCTGTGCCATAGTGTTGATGTCATGTATTGGGTAGAGACCACCAGTAGTTAGCAATTTGCATATGTAATGCCCAGAACAATGTGAAAATCCCAGGAGATGTACTGGTAAAGTAATAATAGTAACATATTATGAGAACAACTGTCATACATATCCATATATTCCTTCCTTTAACTTACAAATACTATAAACCTATAAAAATATTCATACTTAACAGTGAAGAAATGTGCTATGCTTGCAAGGAAGACATTGTATGTACAGGTAGTCCTCAACTTATGACCACAATGGAGCCCAAAATTTCTGTTGCTATGTGAGACAGTTAAGTGAATTTTGCCCCATTTTATAACCTTTCTTGCCACAATTGTTAAGTGAATCACTGCAGTTGTTAAGTTAGTAACACAGTTGTTAAGTGAGTCTGGCTTCCCCATTGACTTTGCTTGTCAGAAAGTCGCAAAAGGTGATGATATGACCCTGGGACACTGCAACCATCATAAATATGAATCAGTTGGCAAGTGTTTGAATTTTGATCATGTGACAGCGGGGATGCTGCAACGGTCATAAGTATGAAAAATGGTCATAAGTCACTTTTTTCAGTGCTGTTGTAAATTTGATTTACAACAGATTTACAAACTGTTGTAAATCAAGGACTACCTGTACTCCTAGAAACAATAAACATTCTATAAAGTTAGAACGCCTTTTTTTTTTCCCCAAAATTTTTTTATTATTTTTTCATCATAAAAAACAATCATAATCCAATAAACAAAATAAAAGATAAAATCCCCCACCCCACCCCGGACTTCCCAAACCTAGTCCCAGGATAATATTC